GCTGCAAGCACCTCTGAGGGAAAGCCGCCTTCAAGTTCGCCCGCTGCCGGACAGACCAGCTTCTCCCCGTATGAGACCTGGGTCCCCAGAGACTTCCCGGAACCGGAGTTCAGAGCAGTCGGGAGTTTGTGATTCAAAAAGGCAGCCGCGTCCTCAGGCGCCACCCCCTTTCCTCGCGCGCGCAAGCCGCCGTACCTCTGCACTTCACCTCCGCAGCGCCTCTGGCTCTCAGCGTGCTTCTCTTTCCTTCTAGTTGTAGAATTTACACTCAGCCAGCCTTTCTGTTGTTCTGGATGATGTTTGCTCAGTCCTTTGCGGTAATTTTCAATTGTTGAGGGAGGCGACAATTTCCCGGTGTTTACCTATGCCGCCATCTTAGTTTCTCCAGCATTAGCATTCTTATAGTGACATCCATTCCTTTCCTGGGGTTGCAGTCATGGAGAACGTGTCCCCCTTAAAGATTGGCAGAAAGCACTTTTACTACTGACCCTCAGCAGTTCTTTGAGATTTTGTTAGACTTTCTGGTTGGTAAAATCTTCTATCTATTCATCTGAATACTGTACTGTGCAGACCCCATTATGGAAGGATATAAGGTATATCATAAGCAAATAATTATTTAACCTCTGGAAGTTGCAGAACATTAAAAATAGCATTGCTGGTTGTACTAGGTGCTCTCTGAGGTTCCTTTCAATCCTAAGAGTCCTACTTTTGTGGTTCCAACAGCAGACTATTCTGGTTCTGCTGTGTTTCTTAGAACCCTCACATGACTAAATGTTGTGGCCTGGAATGGAGTTTAGGGCAGTTTGTCTTTAGGTTTCATGCAAGAGGGTTTCATCTACTTAATCTCAAAAGTACTTGCCATAAGAAAGTATGACCGAAATCTCAATCTGTCCTTAGGACAACAATGTAACAATACTACATGTAAAGAATTTAACTTTTCATTTATTTCATTCTCACCCATTCCACCCTGTCTGAAGTTTTCAGCTTTTAAAATTATAACTAGATCATTCAGAGTTCCAATACTAGTGATTTTATTGTTTGTGCTGTATTATAAAACTGTCATTTCAGAAGTTGGGACTTTCAGTGATGTTTAAAATTGCAGGTCCTAATAAGTTTAAGGAACACCTGTGTTTACAGTACATGCTTTTACTTCCTTGGGATTCCTGTTAACTTTTAGGCTAAACACTTTAGAAGAAATTATCATTGCTCCAGCATTGATAGAAATGCTAAAAGGACTGCTGTAATGAGAAGAAGAAGCTCCATTTTGAATGATAGCCTTACTGGATATAGTAATCTTGGTTTCAGATCCTTGCTTTCCATTAGCTTGAGTACTTCATGCCATTCCCTTCTGGCCTGTAGAGTTTCTGATGAGAAATCAGGTGCCAGCCTTATTGGAGCTCCTCTGTAGGTAACAGTTTTCTTTTCTCTTGCTGCCTTTAAAATTCTCTCTTTGTCTTTAATTTTTGGCATTTCAATTATGATGTGTGTGGGCGTGGCCCTGTTTGGGTTCTTCTTGCTTGGGGTTCTCTGTGCCTCCTGAATGGGTGTGACTTTTTCCTTTACCAGGTTAGGGAAGTTTTCTACCATTATCTCTTCAAACACCTTCTCTATTCCTTTCTATCAATCTCTTCTGACACACCTACTATTCTAATATTGTTACGTTTCACATTGTCCCACAGCTGTCTTAAGCTATCCTATTTTTTAAATGTTTTTTCTTCCCCTAATTTGCTGTGTATTCCTTCCAGTGTGTTCTTTATTTGTGTTATGTCATTCTTTATCTCAGACTGTTCTTTTTTCATAGTTACTATATCTTTTCTCATACTGTTAAGAGCATTTTTAACATCATTACTCTGAACTATGTTTCAGATAAATTTCTTATCTCTGCTTCATTCATCTCTTCTTCTGGAGAATTTCCTAGTTCTTTCATTTGGGGGTTGTTTCTTTGCCTCCTCATTTTGGCTGCCTGTTTGGGTTTATGACTGTGTATTAGGTAGATCTGCTATGCCTCTCAATCTCTAGTGCAGGACAGTGTCAAATTCTGTTTCGGACTGATTAGATCAGGCAAAGATTCAAAGCCTCCAGAGATCACCTCAGTCTACAGAGTTAATAGAATTTTATCTTAAACTAGTGACCTGGTGCATGGATTCATGCACATTGGAAGGAAATTAATTAGAAGGTGGCTGGCAGGGCAGGACTGGGAGCGGGGTCCCTCCAGCAGGTGGGGTTCTTCGGCCTGGCCTGTGGGGATCGGGATGAAACTGGCTCTCCAACATCCCCTGAGGGGCCCCAGAATGCGAAAGGGTACTCTGCAAAGTTGCTGTCATACAGGGTGTGGAATGCAAATGCAAGTGTGCAGTAAACCAGATTTGGGGCCGACAATGCCCTAGCAACAACATAACCCACGACTAAAGGTGGAATCGCGTGGCTCCGCGAGGAATTGGGCTCCCTCCTGTCTGGTTTTGGGGTATGTCACCTGAGAACCGCTGCTGCCAAGTCACTGCAGCTTGGCAGCTCCTGTGTTGAGAGTCTGCCCCCTGGTGGTCAGTGTGCATCATAGCAACTGGTCAGATGGTTGGACACTTAGCATATTAGCCTTTTACATATAAACTAGAGGCCCGGTGCACAAAAATTTGTGCACTCGGGGGGGTGTCCCTCAGCCCAGCCTGTGCCCTCTCACAGTCTGGGACCCCTCAGGAGATAACGCCCTGCTGGCTTAGGCCTGCTCCCGGGTGGCAGAGGGCAGGCCCAATCCCTAGGTGTAGCCTCTGGTCGGGCTCAGAGCAGGGCCGATTGGGGAGTTGGGGCGCCGCCCCCTGTCATGCACAGAGCAGGGCGGATCAGGAGGTTGCGATGCCACGCTCAGTCACGCTCAGGGTAGGGCTGATTGGGGGGTTGGGGCACCGCCCCCTGTCACACTCAAGGCAGGGTCGATGGGCAGGTTGCGGCGCCACCCCCTGTCACGCACAGAGCAGGGCCAGTCAGGGGGTTGGGGCGCTGCCCCCTGTCACGCACAGAGCAGGGCCCATCAGGGGGGTTGGGGCTCCATACCCTGTCACGCACAGAGCAGGGTTGATCAGGGGGTTGGGGAGCTCCCCACTGTCACGCACAGAGCAGGGTTGATCAGGGGGTTGGGGAGCTCCCCCCTGTCATGCACAGAGCAGGGCCCATCAGGGGGTTGAAGAGCTTCCCCCCTGTCATTCACAGAGTAGGGCCAATAGGGAAGTTTGGGCACTGCCCCCTGTCACACACAGAGCAGGGCGGATCAGGGGGTTGGGGCACCGCTCTCTATCACCCACAGAGCAGGGCCGATCAGGGGGTTGGGGCGCGGCCACTGTCACACTCAGGGCAGCGCCGATGGGGAGGTTATGGCTCTACCTCGTCACACACAGAGCAGGGCCAGTTGGGGGGGGGGGGTTGGGGCACCGCACCCTGTCACACACACAGCAGGGCGGATAGGGAGGTTGTGGCCCCGCTCCCTGTCACACACAGAGCCACAGGGCGATCAGAGGGTTTGGGTGCTGCCCCCTGTCATGCTGATCCTGGTGCCTGGAGGCCTCGCGGCTCCACTGATCCCAGTGCTGGGAGGCATATTACCCTTTTACTATATAGGATGGAGGCCTGGTGCATGGGTGGGGGCTGGCTGGTTTGCCCTAAAGGGTGTCCTGGATCAGGGTGGGTCCCCACTGGGTTGCCTGGCCAGCCTGGATGAGGGGATGATGGCTGTTTGCAGCTGGTCACACACCCTTCAGGGTGGGGGGTCCCCACTGGGGTGCCTGGCCAGTCTGGGTGAGGGGCTGAGGGCTGTTTTCAGGCTGACGGGTGACTGAAGCTCCCAATCGCTCCTTTTTTTCTTTTTTTAATTTTTTTATTCTGGGCCAGCTTTAGCTCTGATGCTCCAGCTCTTAGACCTCTGCTGCTGAAAGCAGGTTTCTGGCCTTTGTTTACCTTCTGTATTTGAAACAATGTTGCGATCCTGCTGGCTGAAGCCCTGCGACTAAAGCAGGTTTCTGGGGTTTTGTTTAGCTTCTATATTTGTAACATAGTTGCTTAGAGTTGCAGCTCAGAGGCCGGCAAGGCAGGCGGGGAATGTTGGAGTCCTCTGTCACTGAAGCAAGCAAGCCTCATGTTCGCTTCCAGCTGCCTGGCTGCCGGCTGCCATCTTGGCTGGCAGTTAATTTGCATATCGCTCTGATTAGCCAATGGGAAGGGTAGCGGTCGTATGCTAATTACCATGTGTCTCTTCTATTAGATAGGACTAGAGTCCCTGTGCATGAATTCGTGCACAGATGGGGCCCATCGGCTGGGCTAGCCAGGGGGAGGGGCTGCAGGCTGTTGGCCAGCCAGCCCCACCCCCAATCAGGGTGTTGGGGGCTGATCAGGAGCTGGGCCAGCCCGGGGGGGAGGGGAGCCGATTGGGGCCAGGATCAGGCTGGTTGGCTGCTGCAGTGAGCATCATAGCCACCAGTAGTTCTGGTCATTCTGCTGTTCCAGTCACTGGGCTTTTATATGTATAGATAGATGTTTCTGTAGCAGCATTGCTTTTGTTTATTTGTTTTTTATGTTCAGTACCTTGGCAAGCCACCAATAATGAACTTGTCAAGCTGGTTTTAAGAAGGTAAATAGAAAAATGAAGATAATGAAAATGTTTCTTCTCTTTCCCTTCGAGGGTTGCAGAGAAGGTGTTCTTTAGACCATGTGTTTTTTAGACTCCTAATTCTGAGGTTTTCAACAGCATGAAAATGGTCCTGCAGCCGAGTTACAGATCATTTGTAATAATGCTCAAATTGCTAGTTGGAATGAGTCTGTGCCAAAGGCTAATCATTAGCCATGGTTTATTAGATTCAGTTCCTCCTATGCTTTTTAGTTGCTTTACCTGTGTGATTGAATCTTCATGGTTATTTGAACCAGATGTCATGCATTTTTCATATTCATTGTATTTGTCATAAAATTGTAGGAGAATGATTGAAAAATCAATATGATAAAAATGTCTTCCCATTTAGGAAAGGACCTGAAAACATTAGTCATTCTGAACAACTCAAAGAAAAGGAAAAACAAGGTTTTTTCAGGTCAATGAAAAAGAAAAAGAAGAAATCTCAAACAGTAAGTAGATGGCTAATTTCTATATATGGTACAATGACAGACGAGTCTATGTTAGTCCATGAATACTTTACATTTTGTATGTGGCAATCAAAGTGAATGATTTTTTTTGTGATCTGATATGCATGCACTGTATATGTTTTGTTCTCAAATTCTATACAACTGTCCTCCTGTCACAGAGCGTTTTTATACTCAACAGAATCTCCAGGAATAGAAGAAATTTAATTTGGATGAGAAAGAACACTTTAAGCCTCTCTCCATAAATGTCTTATCTATGTGGATTTGTAGTCATGTAAAACCTATGAAACTACAGGATTTATTTCTCTCTGGGGGTTAACTATATGTGGAAACTCAGTAAATGGTTTTGTTTTATGTTTAAATCTGAAAAGTTATAACTAACCATCATTCATTATTCTCCCTTGGCTGGTTATCTAATTCCCATGTTGACAAGTGCACTTCTGGGCTGCAGAGTCACCAAGAGGAAATAGTATTTGACATTTCAGGACTTGCTTTAGTAGGAAGACATGTATATGCTGTTATTGAACTGTGAAATAGAATGAGTCTTAGCTCCTGGGAGCCCTCTGCCTGAACCCAGAGCTGGCTCCATGGAACCGTGCACATTACATCATTGAACCACCCAAGCAAGGATTCTGCTGGTTAGTGACATGAGAAAACATGGAGAAGCCAGGCCTCCAGTTCAGCGGGCACTTCTTTACCCATGTGAGGCCTGCTTCCCCCTTTGCTTTATGACACCTTCCAGACTACACAATGTTGAGTGGGTCATTTTAAATAATTTTGTTTCTAGTTTTTCTTCATACATGATTGACTCTCATTTATTTAGAAAGGTAAAAAGATTCAAGGATCATGAGTCAGTCAGTAAGACGAAATAGATGATAGTATTAAAGAATAATAGCTGAAGTAAGGATTTTTACTTCACAGATGTTCTAGAAGTATTGGTAATCCTTCTAGATTACCTTTCTAGATTATTCTTTCACTTGCTCATTTGTTGAACTTATATATTTCATTATAAAATAAATATGAGCTCATTACAGAACAATTGAGAAAAAATCATTTATAATCTTACCACTCTATTACAATTAATATTAGGATTTCGGTATAATTCGTCTTAGTTTTTTAGCCTGTGCATATGTTCATGGGAAAAGGTGGTTTTTTAGTTTATTTTTAATAATAGTAATCATTCTAGTACAATATTGTATTCTGGCTTTTAATAGTATATCTATGTATCAATACACACAACATTTATGTGCTACACAAATTTTATTATCTTCATTTTAATGACTGCATGATATTCCTGAAGTGTTTATTTCTTAAAATAACTGCCTTATCTCTAACTGAAACTCACTTAAAGCAGAAATTCAAGTCAAAATGTCACTAGATGAACAAAACAAGGCTTAATTTAAAGTAGAAAAGCTCAAAATATTTAAAGTGCTCATAAAATAACACTTTTATCATTGTCTATAGAACACTTGTCTATCATGAACATTGAACTTAGACTACCTCCTCATAACCACTCTTATTTTTATTTTAATGTGTTTGTTTTTGACCTCAGGTCTATAGCCACTTGTGAGGTGGTTAAATGGAAGAAAGTGGCAAAAACCAAGGAATTGAAGGTGTTTTGTATATAGATTTGGATTTTGATGTCTGTCTGTCTTAGACCAACATTAAATTTAAAGCCCCAAGCTCATTGTGGCCTAAGTCGAGTATATATACATGTTAACTAACTCTGTTATTCAGGATCTGGTTCAAATTTTAGATTTTGAAATAGTATAGGTTAAGAGAAATAGGAAAATTATTATTCTCTAACATCCTCTCCACTTGAATGTACTTTTTAAAGGTTTTCATACTTTTTTATGTTTTTATTGATTTCAGAGGAAGGGAAAGGGAGAGAGGGATAGAAACATCAGTTATGAAAGAGAATCATTGATCAGCTGCCTCCCGCAACCCAGGCATGTGCCCCAACCAGAATGCAACCGTGACCTCCTGGTTCATGAGTGGATCCTCAACCACTGAGTCACACCAGCTGGGCTATACATTTCATTTGTGGTCTATAAAGTAATTTCAAAATATCTCTGTATGGGTTAAGCATTCCAAACCAAAAGCTTTTTGTACTTCTAATATTTTAGTTAAAAAATGTTTTTAAGGACTTTGGTATCTAGCATAAGATTTCCAAAGAGCACTTCTGCCAGACCTCAGCCTCCTAAGCAAAGCATTTTGTTAACTGTGCCCCCTTCACATGAACAGAAATAGAATTAAAGATAGATTTTTCCACTTTCCAGAACTCAGCAAAAGGAAACTAAGTAACCAAGCTTTGAAAGATTGAATGCTTTATAGCATTTGCATAAGGTTCAAGAAAGGGGAAATCTGATGCCCAGGGCACACAGAGAAGCAAGACATTTTAAAGCCTCGATGGATCCTAAATCTAGTTTAACCCTTTTATTTTGCTGATATAGGAACTACCCAGGCAAGTTGAGATCTGCCCGAAGTTGCTCTATCAGTTGAGAGAACTAGAGGTGGGTTCTCCTGTCTAGCAGGCCCAGGCTTAGTCCCTGCCATCAGCCCCATCTATGTGGAGAGCCTCAGACCACTTGTTCCTTGGGGCTCTCTTGTGGCCTCCTTAGTGATGCAAGTTAAACTCTTTCCTGGGAGCCCATCATGGGAACAAGAAACTTCATGGGCTATTTTACTTAGATGTTCTCATACACGCAGCTGTAAAAGATGATCGGAATGCCGTCATATGCATTCTACTTCTCCGAGAACTGAGATATCCACAACAGGGGAAAGTGGTGCCAAAAAATAATGTTATATTGTAAAGGTGCCTGCTTTGACTCAAGCAAATCTGGAAGCCGCCTTGGGAAATCTGGCTTCAGTTCCAAATCCAGAGAGTTACATAAACCCTCAGAGCATATGGTGATTGCCAACTTAGTAGTTGTACCCAAGTTAGTATCTATCTCAACTGGTAATCATGCTTCAATTTAAAGACTGAGCTTTCTGTTTCTTCACTTTGAAATCCCGTATTCTGAACTGCTCCAGATATTTTCCATGGGAGGAATATTTCTAACAGCCTAGAACCAGGCTTCTTCCTTGAAGGTAGAATCCTGCAACAGTGGTCTTCGTCTTCCAAGTGATGTGTTCTGGTTTAAGAGCTGACCATGTTCAAAGAGTCTGCACTATCTTTTTTCCCCCCGAATAGGTAGTTTGCATGGTAGATTATTTAATTGCTGAAGTCTTCTCTAGCAATTAGGAAGAGACTGAAGTTCATCAATAGCTGTTTAAACACAATTCTTTATAATAATTATATTTCTGATAATAAATAAGTCCTTAAATGTTTTGTAAGCTTAATGTGAATGATATGTGTAGGTTTCTAGGCATCCCTTCAGTAGGTATTGATCATGACCACATGTTTTCCATATATGTATAAGTTTTTGGCATGTCTTAATTACATTGTTGGCATCTTCTTGTCCAGGTGAGAAATGACACAGTACCCCCTTTAGATACACACATAGCACAGTTATTCTTTCAGTGACTGCTAATATTTAACAATTTAAGGGCTTCCAAAGGGCTAGAAGTTTCAGTAAGAACACCTTTTTTTCTTTTCTTTTGCAATTAGTTTATTTGTATCTTATATTGCAGACAGATTCCACCAACGGGGAGAATCCAAGCATCAAGAAATCCCTCTTTCCTCTTTTTAATTCAAAGAATCATTTAAAGCATAGTTCTTCTTTGAAAAAGCTTCCTGTAGTCACTCCACCCATGGTACCCATTTTTATGTATGGTAGCCCTGAAAACTGCTCCAGTAAACTTGTTTTACTGATGACAACAGCATGTCTTTTATTTTCATGGGGTCATATTCTCTTTGTGCTAGTTAAGTACCTGAGCCAGTTCCATAAATTCACTGAGATATAAATTCTTAGCCATTCTGGATATTCCTAATTAGTTAAGGAGGTTGAAGTATAAAAGGCTATTGAGCAAACAAAGTAGTGAAAGGCTAGTTTGGGTTGTCTGATTTGCCAGTTGTTGGCAGACAGCATTCATAAAACCCCTTATTTCCTGTAAAGAATTCTATTAACACTTATAATTCAGAAATGTCTTTTTGTTTGGCTCACAAAGTTTGTTAACACTTGGTTGGCAGTTTGTTTCTTTGAAACCAAGTTGAATTGACCAAATTGAGTGAGCTAGCTGGCTCCATGAAAAAAACAGCTTCTGTTAGTTGGTAATTTGTTTTTTTCTTGCCTGGCTCTAGCTTTTGCTGGTCACTGGGTTCAAAGCCAGGGCTTTTGCTTGGCATTTGACATTACTCTACTGTGTTCACCAAAATTGGTGAATGGACCAGTTGCATTCGTGTGGAATTTGTGGCACAAATTTCCAGCATTTTCATCATGCATAATGCTAGACCCAGATTCTTTACTGGGCAATGTCTTGTGATTATGATTCAAACATACTTTTCCACTTTGCTACCCTTGAAAACCTGCTAGACTTCTTTGAGTACCACCAAACACAGTGTCTGGATCATTTTCCCAGCAGGAACAAATTTTTGTTTTATTGAACTGGTTCATAACCTAACTGCAATGTGGAATGAGGATACGACAGCAATTCCTGGTACAGCCCAATTTAACTGCTCTCTCTTACAGCGACTAAAACTAACAGCATGGGAATGCTTAAAAGGTTGAGGTTTTAACAAAGCTGCATGACATCTGCCAATTTTTCCTAATGCAGGGAAAATTATTAAGAGGGCAGCAGAATTTAACTGGCATCACTTGCATTGTGAACATTGGGAGAGTTTGGGTTTCTTTTTTTATTGTTTTTTTTCTTGGGTTTTTTTTTGGGGGGGCGGTTCTTAGGGAGGGTTGAGTTTTGGTTTGGTGTGATTTGCTTTTGTTCTTCTCTTGGGTGTGGTTGCATATCTTAGTTAGGCTTAGTGGTGTGCTGATTGAATCTTTGTCTATATCCTGCTCTAGCTGTCCAATTCTGAAGGCCCTGATCTTCTGACATTGCAGAAAGCCATTCACTCTAACACCACAACTGGCAGACCAAAGGAGTGGCGTCCTGAGAAGATCTCTGATCTACAGCCTCAAGTGAGTGGCCCATGCATCACTCCTAGACTCTTAGACTGCATATTGGAGGGGGCATAGTTGAGAAATTTAGCCTGTCAATGTTTCAACAAGTCTTAAGATCTCCCCAGAATATCCAGGTGTATTTTGGGGGTCCAGATGGATCTTGCATCAGTGACCCTTGTCCTAGGAAAAAAAGTGATCTTCCATTAGACTTCACCTAGCTGGGGGTTGGGGTGGGGATGGGATTAAGGGATTAATAAAACATGGCCCAGCCCACGAATACTTTGTGGCCTAAGAGAGATAGAAAATCCATAAATAACCATAATTGGTGATAAAAAGTGAGGTATGCCATAAAATGTAAGAGTAGGTGAGAAGAGGTAGTGGGAAGATTTAAGGTTTCATTAAAGGTGGTAGTATATAAATTGGGCTTTGAAAGACTGATACAATAAACTTTCTTGAAAGAATATTAAAAGTTTTGAAATCCATACTATGTTTTTTAATATTTTTTGTTGATTTCAGAGAGGAAGAGAGAGGGAGAGAGAGATAGAAACATCAATGATGAGAGAGAATCATCGCTAGGCTGCCTCCTACACACCTCACACAGGATCGAGCCCACAACCCAGGCATGTGCCCCAAGCGGGAATCGAACCATGACCTCTGGTTCATAGGCCTCCGCTCAACCACTGAGCCATCCAGGCCAGGCATAGGCTTTTTTGTTAAAGAAAAATAACTCCAATCTTGTCTGGAAAAGAAAAAAAGAACAGATGAGGTTGGATTAGGCCAGGGGTGGGCAAACTTTTTGACTCGAGGGCCACAATGGGTTCTTAAACTGGACCAGAGGGCCGGAACAAAAGCATGGATGGAGTGTTTGTGTGAACTAATATAAATTCAAAGTAAACATCATTACATAAAAGGGTACGGTCTTTTTTTTCAATAGTTTTATTCATTTCAAACAGGCCGGATCCGGCCCGCAGGCCGTTGTTTGCCCACGGCTGGATTAGGCCCTCCTTCCCCCTAGGGCCCACCCTCTCTGGCTCTATGAATTCATCTCAGATCTGCTTTCCAGTCTACCCTACACACACTCTCATCTTGTCTTCCAGAGCCAGCCATTAAAATCATTGCGCAAGCTGTTGCATCTCTCTTCAGCTTCCAATCACCCGGCTACTGGGGACCCGCGCTTCCAGCCCTTAACACCTCAACAAGTCAAAAATGCCTTCTCGGAAATTCGGATTCACTCCCTGGCCCAGGCCTCTGGCGCGAGCAGTAACATCCGGCAGGAGCCCACACCAAAGGGCAGGCCAGCCCTTCAGCTGCCAGGTCAGATGGACCCTGGTTGGCACGTGTCCTCTGTGACCCGGAGTGCCACAGAAGGGCCTTCCTACTCTGAACAGCTGGGAGCCAAGAGCGGGCCAAATGGGCACCCTTATAACAGAACAAATCGGTCTCGAATGCCAAATCTAAATGATTTAAAAGAGACGGCCTTGTAATGTGTGCTTGGGGTGGGGTGGGGGTGGGGGTGGGGGTAGGGGGCAGGGGGAAGCCAGTTGGGAGGGGAGGGAAGGGGTTGGAGGGTGGGATGGGAAATGGGCTGGGCCAGAGTGGTAAGCCAGTATTTTCAGCTTTATGAAGGCGTGTGCAATATCGTATGTGAGGAGCCATCTGGCTCCTCACGGCCACAAATGCTAGTCAGGGATCTTAGAGCCACAGGAGTTCCTTAGGGATTACCAGTCTCCATGGGTCTTGTGTGAGCATGGATAGGGTATGCCATTGAGGAAGAAGACATTCTTGCCAGTTTCTCCCCTACATTTCAGCTGTAGTGCAATCCCTGTTAAACTTGGGAAAGCCAGGATGTGTTCTGGCACTGCAAGGAAAAGAAAAATCCGTGTTGGCTGATGCCCTTACCACAGATTTTTTTCTGCCTAGACTAAATGTGGGGTTTATTGTAATCCAGGAGTATCCCTTTGAAGGGTTAGCAGATGAACTAATTGTATGTCTTAAATTGTTTTCTAAACTTCCATATTTGATAGGATTTGTAACATTTATTTATAATTAATTAATATTGTACTGTTATAATCATACCTTTTATGTTACATGTAAAGTTATTTTGAGCTGTTTGGAACATTGTGAAGCAGTGGGACAGCTACAGTAGTTTCTATAAAAACTAAACAGTAACATTTATATATTGCATCAGGAGTACTTTATTCTATATATAAATATATATATGATAAATATGTGTCTGTTTTATAAATATAATCATTTAAAGAAAGTATCGTTATGACACTCTGCCATATTTTTATACATTTGTAATATGAAGTGAGTATTATACTTCTTACCAAGGGAGTTGAATTATGGCTATATGTGACTGTAACAGTAGGAACCTTGCTCAACTTTTAGGCCCCAGCAGTAGCTTCTAGATATGCTCCTTGGTAGCAGACGAGACGCAGCATCTTCTTGCAAACCCACAGGGGAAGAAAGTGGGCTAGACCAGTGAGAACTCCGGCAGGCCTTGTCTCTGTCCTCACACAGTTGGCTCCTCTTCATGTTCAGGGACATTCCTTGCACCTGAGGGAGAATAGATCCAGGCTTACTCATGGTTCTTTATAGAGAGAATGGGCTCTTCTACTTAGCATTAGTGTAGAGCATTGACCAAAGATTTGCCAGTGAACATTCCTAGTTGCAAGGTTGTACGAGGCCCCTGTCTGCCGACCTGGCATACCAGCTCTATGCTCCTAAATCCTGTGCACTGTACCAGAGACTCGGTGGGGGGTAGAGGGGAGGTATATGTGTGGCATTTCTATTTCTAAATACTTATTTTGTTACTGCTCTTTACAAGATATTTAGGAGATATTTAAAAGGCTTCTGAAGCCATTCTAGATGTAGAGGAAATTGCTATACCCACTTTTTCTTCCTGGGACCATCCATATATAACAAGGTTAGCGCGCTCGCGCACACATACACACACACACACACACACACACACACACACACACACACACACACACACACCAACCACACAGTCAGAACAGGAATTATCTTTCTCTCATTTGATCTCCTCCAACTCCCAAGTTGCTCCCAAGTTTCATCAAGGCCTTTAGCCAACAAAGGTCATAGCCCCATGTCTCTGGGCCATCCTTAACAGAAATCACTCAACACCATCATCCATCAAGAGCATTAGATTTTTAGAAGTAGTCTCCTAGCAATAATATTTTTAAAGGTCCCCTCCTACCCCTCAAGGAGGTAATGTCTCGGTAGTTAGTACTTGTCCCAGGATTCTGAGAGTGTCAGCCTCTGAATCAAGTCAGCTGTAACTGAAATGTGCTATTACTGTTCCCCCGCCCCCACGATTTTGAGAATTATAGTTCTGATGATTATGAAGATTATAAAGAAAATGTCTTAGTTTCTTTGAAGCTTAAATTGTGTGCATATTGCATTTTATATAACTACTATAATGATGTGTATTGATTATATATAGAGGTCATTTTAAGGTGCTTTTTATTTAATTTAATAAGTGTAATAGGCACTAAAATGCAACTCAACTGGGTACTATCATTGAAACAATTTGATTCAAACTAATAGTTTGCATGCTCTTTGGTTCCTTTTATATCTTGTTTCTTTCACCAGTTCAATACTGTTCAAGTAGCTCTGAATTCTGGCTTTTCCCAGGCAGCTGCTCAGTTATATAAGTGATGTGGACCCTTAGCAGTTTTGCCTGGATACTAATGACTCTAAAAGGGTGTGAAACTCTTCTTTTTCATACTAGATCTGTACCTTGTATTCCCCCTTGCAAACCAGAAACACATTTTTTCCTCTGGAAAGACTTCTCACTGTGCTGTGTGCTTAGGACTGCGCAGTCAACATTGCCATGTGCGGCATTGGAGGCTCGTCGTCACCTAGCGGCTGGTTTCCCATGTTTTCATCCTTGCTAACACTGGGATCTCAGATGTTTGCAGATCATTTCTATTCCTGATGGTTCTTCAAAGAAGGGCTAGAATTATTGCCTTCTACCTAGAGCAAAAGTAAACCTAAATGATGAAGAGTCAATACATACTTTTCGTACATTCCCAGATTTGAGCCAGATAATATCTACAGTGTTTTCAACTCGTGTTTTTGAGGTAGCTCTTTTATCCTCTTCTCAGCTTTTGTCCATTTTGACTTTTCATTGACCTCAGTGAGTTGTAAAGTGAACTACAATCTGCATTTCTAGCATGTATAATGCTTTTCCTACTCACACAGGGGAATAGTCATTTCCTCTCTAATCTAATGGGCCCTCTCTTAGCTTTTAACTGTTATTTTCCTGTGTCGATGAATTATGGACCTCACAGAGATTGCCATCCGTGATAGGGACTTGATTTAAAGTCATAAAAGCTGGCATTTTTCTTTAGGAAGGGAAATTTTTATGGCATCTGTGCTCTGTTATCTGCCCTAACTTCCTAAAGAATAAAAAGATTGAATGAAGACTTATCAATTACTTTGTTTTATGGAAGTATCACTGATCTCCTTTTGAAAAGAAACTCTGCTTTGCTGGTTTTCTACTTTTGCTTTACCACCATCCTCGTTTTTCTTCTCAGAAGTTCTAAATGAACTTTCAATGAACCTTGTTTGGTCTCAGTCTGAGGTTTAGCCTCTCTCCAGAGCCCTGGACCAAAAGTAGTCCGCACTAAAGGGCTCAAGAGAGCTTTACAGCAGGGGTTCTCAATCAGGGCCGATTTTGCCTTCTGTCAGCAATTGGCTCATATGTGGTTATGATAACTGGTATGGTGGGGTGCTACTGGCATGTAGTTAGTAGAGGCCAGGGATGCTGCTACACGTCCTACATGCACAGGACATCCCCCCACAACAAAGTGATCCAGCCCTAAATGTTAGTAGTGCTGAGGTTGAGAATCCTACTCTACCATATTCAAACCCCTGAAATCTTATTGTTTGTTCCCATTGTCTTGGGCCTGCTAAAAGGTGCATCCTTTGGGAGGAGACCACAGTTACTTTATAGGTATTTGAGAACTTAAATTCTAGGTCAGCGTCCTTAGAAATTTTTTTACAGAGCCATGATGCTTATGTTAGAAGTAAGCAGCAGCCTGGCAGATTGGCACGTTTTTTACCAAGTGCTCAAAGGTATCCATGGCTTTTAGCTGTGTCTCCCCCCAAAAAATGTCTTTGTTTTTCATTTAGGTCATTTAATAGCTCTTTACAAATATTGGCATATGACAGACCAATTAGAAGCAAAAATTTCTGTATTGGTGGTTGTGATATGGCTGTTATAGGAGTATTTGTGCTGTACGCTTTGGTCAAATCTGTTTTCAAACCAGCTTTACAACTCACCTTATGCAGTTGTACTTTCATTCTAAGCTCAGAGCTACGCTGGTTAGTTTCTAGTCACTTCATGTATTATAAAGTATGTTGTGGTTGTAGAGTTAGCCAGTTTAGCATGTTCCTAATTGAAAATTAGTGGACTTCTCTAGGAAATGCTATCCCATTTTCCAGTCCCAGCTCCTTAGTTAACATCATAGTATCCTCACTTCTTAAACTAGTTTTTAGAGTAAATAAGGAAAAAAGCCATTTATTTTCTTCTAGCTGTGTATTGAGAATGACTCGTAAGTGTACAGCTTTTTTTAAAGGCCAGAGGATTACTTTTCAAGTGCGTGGAAGGCGCTGTTTATTTCTATTCACCTAGGTCCTGGTGGTGACCCAACTTTCAGCAAGGGCAGTCTCTCATTGGGACTTATTCCTAGAGCTCAGCTGGGACTCAGAAATCTGCATATTCTCTCCTGATCAGAACGTTGTTTCTGGAGAGCACTGCTTTTATATCTAGAAGTTCGTTACTTCCTGCATTATAGTGGGATATTGAGCTCCATGTGAGCACTAAGATCCACAGACTCATGCTTTTATGAACTGGGAATGTGGTATGATACACTGAACCAAGTCAGAAAATACTGAATTATTTCCTTACCTCCTTCAGTTCATCACAAATAAAGTGTGTAGGCAGAGAAAACTTATTTACAGTTAAAAACAAATGGTTTCTTTAAAGGGGGCAGCAGAAAACACAGTGTCCTGTCGCTAATCCCCAGGTCCAGAATCTCACAAGAAGTTTCTCTCAGAGACTTAAAGGGCCAACTTACAAAACAAAAACTTGTAAGTGGTTCTGATTTTATTTTCTTTGTGTCTTGACCAGCTGAGATATAGGATACCTTGAGGTCTGATTCAGCTGGATAAAAAAAATCTGTCTTAGAAACCATAAGTAAATACAAGAAAATGAAGCTGTGATAGGACGAGTCCCTCGTCTGTCTGTATACACACATGTGGTGAAGGTAAGGTGGCTAGGAAACTCTGGGCCTGCTGCCCTAATCTACCCTATTTCTTCTTTTTTAACTGAATGTACTATAAAAGATCATAGACTTTGTGCCAAGTCAGTTACTATGTGAATATTCATTTCCCATAGTGCTTTGTTAATTCATCAGCATTAGGCCTGGTCCTGACTATATCTTTTTTCACT